ATCGGGTGTGTGAGACGTAGTGAGATTCCTCCTCTTTATCTGTCCTGGTGACCACTGCATACAAGACACAAAGAGAGGGACAATCCTCAATTCTGAGTTGTCACCAGAGCAGTAAAAACCTTCCAATGGGGACATTTATTCTCACGACAACTGTCTAAGAATGGTTCCAATTCAAGTATTTCCTGTTGTGTAGACAAAGACAGATTGGGGCACTTTGTACCAGTTGCATAAAGACCATTCAAGTGCTTCTAAACTTAACAAGAAGAATGTAATGTATAGAAGCTTACAATTCCTTAAAAGGTGGTGGCTGGTTCACCTGGTGATCCTGCCAGTAACACACTTCCACGTCCTAAGGTGACAATATTCACTCACTGTACTGTATCTGTGGAGGAGCAGTGTTGTCACCTTAAGGTCTCGTTCACACCTAGGCGTATTGCATATGCGCGACCGCCGCAGTTTTTTTTACCGGTAAAAAAGTTGCGCGACCGTCGCGCGTTTCCGAAGGCTACTTGGCTGTATCCCAATGGAAACGCGCAACAAAAAACGGCCCAAAGTAGTACCTGTACCTTTTCAGGCGTGGGTCGTTTTGTAGCGCGTTAGGGACGGGCGGAAATACGCCAAGGTGGGAACGAGACCATTGGGATTTATATTTTTGAGCGTAGTTTTGTAGAGCGTTCTTCGAGCGTAGAACGCGCTACAAAACGTTCAGGTGTGAACGAGGGCTAAAGCTGCCCATACACTGTTCTATTTTTCTTGTTCAAACGGCGGGCTGAGCAAAAAGAGCAGATTTCGCCATTAATGCTATGAGCATGTTAATCAAGGAATCCCCGCTGTTTCTTTTGTATTCTGACAGCGGCCGACAGCTCATTGGCTCTGTTCGTACAAAGATTTCCTGACTGGCTCCTTCGATCAGCTGATCGAGGGATGCCGGCCGGAAGGACGCCGACAGCGGCACCCACTGTGTGAATTTCGTCCGACTCCTTAAGGGCCCATTCACACCACCTCCAGATAATCTCCAGACCAGATTGTTTCCGAACCTAAAATGCATCCTAATATATCCCTATGCTATTTCTGGACTCTGTTTACACCGGTGCAGTCCGTTCCAGACCAGACCAGAAAAATACTGCACGTCTAATTTTGTCTAGTCTAGAATGCACTGGAACTGCGGGCAGGTTCACACCATTTTCCGGACCAGTCTAGTCCGGAAAATGGTGTGAACTTGCCTTAAGAACAGAGTCAGGAAGTGTTCTGTAGTCCACAAAGGTGTACTGGGCAGGGCTCATACCACTGCTTGGGATTTCAGTGCGGTAGAGGCATTGTGCTGTCAGCACACTACAGGAAGTTAGTCCTCCTGAGTACATCCTCCTGGAAAAATGGAGCAGCGAACCGGCTGCATATGTATAGTGGCCAATCCACAGGTAGTGAATGGATTTCTGGCAGGATCAACAGGTATTATTTGCACTTATAAAATAGCTAGAAAAAAAATACAATTTCAATTGTATTTACAAAGACCAAACTTGGGCAAATAAGAGGAGTCCATCGTTAGGATTTACATACACTTTATTAGATAACTGGATTAAATAGAGTTTTTTTGCCTGGGGTTCAGCTTCTAATACATCTCTACAGTACTGTATGGAATTAGATTTTACACTGACGCTCATGTCAAATAAAAAGCGTTTTATTCTTCTATCAAATGACTACATATTATACCGTATCATTCCTTATGAACAAGCACTTACTTGTTACCTACATCCTCTCCTCTCACCACATTACTATCCACGATGGTGAAGAAACCGATGCCTGGAGAAAGAGGAAATGAAGTTATCCAATCACAATTTAACTCACTTATAGTTAATAGTATTTAAGTGATCACTCTGATAAATTATTACATTTCTCCACTTGTAGGGTCATTATGTTAGAGCGATAAAAGGACGGCGGCACTATAGACACACATAATATGATAATTACAGTCATCTGCAGCCTCCTGGAAATACATGACATATGAAACTGTCAAAGCATCACTTGTATAATCACAGACATATAAATGCCGGTCATTGTCATCAATCTGGATGTCAAGTCATGACATTAGGGATAATAGTTATATGGCGTTTAGAAGATCACGGGCTTAATTGGGTGCGACCTTTATTCTAATTAGTGATTAGCTTGCAGACACATCATTCCAAATTATACAACATATTTACCAGGTATCTCCTTCATAGCACTGACACACAGCACGTCTGGAGCAAAGAAATCAGCACACTGGCAACTGAGGTCCCAAAATAGAAGAACACTGATACTCGGGGTCCCAATAGAAGAACACTGATACTCGGGGTCCCAATAGAAGAACATTGGTACTCGGGGTCCCAATAGAAGAACATTGGTACTCGGGGTCCCAATAGAAGAACATTGGTACTCGGGGTCCCAATAGAAGAACACTGATACTCGGGGTCCTAGAATAGAAGAACACTGACACTCAGGGTCCCGGAATAGTAGAACACTGACATTCAGGGTCCCAGAATAGTAGAAAGCTGACATCCAGGATCCCAGAATAGAAGAACACTGACACTCGGGGTCCCAGAATAGAAGAACAATGACATTCAGGGTCCCAGAATAGTAGAAAGCTGACATTCAGGGTCCCAGAATAGTAGAACACTGACACTCAGGGTCCCAGAATAGAAGAACACTGACACTCAGGGTCCCAGAATAGAAGAACACTAACACTCAGGGTCCCGGAATAGAAGAACACTAACACTCAGGGTCCCGGAATAGAAGACCATTGATACTCAGAGTCCCAGAACAGTAGTACATTGATACTCGGGGCTCCAATAAAGAAGCACACTGACACTCAGGGTCCCAGAATAGGAGAACATTGACACTAAAGGTCCTGGAATACTAGAACACAGACACTCAGAGTCTCAGAATAGTGTCATACAGACACTCAAGATTCCAAAGTAGAAGCAGAACGATAATCAGGTCGCAGAATATTGCCACCATGATAACAGGGATTCCAGGATAAGTGTACTAACACCAAGGGTCCTTAAATAGAAGAACACAGACACTCAGGGCCCCAGAATAGTAGAACATTGAAACTCAGGGTCCCAGAATAGAAGAACACTGACACTCAGGGCCCCAGAATAGAAGAACACTGACACTCAGGGCCCCAGAATAGAAGAACACTGACACTCAGGGCCCCAGAATAGAAGAACACTGACACTCAGGGCCCCAGAATAGAAGAACACTGACACTCAGGGCCCCAGAATAGAAGAACACTGACACTCAGGGCCCCAGAATAGAAGAACACTGACACTCAGGGCCCCAGAATAGAAGAACACTGACACTCAGGGCCCCAGAATAGAAGAACACTGACACTCAGGGCCCCAGAATAGAAGAACACTGACACTCAGGGCCCCAGAATAGAAGAACACTGACACTCAGGGCCCCAGAATAGAAGAACACTGACACTCAGGGCCCCAGAATAGAAGAACACTGACACTCAGGGCCCCAGAATAGAAGAACACTGACACTCAGGGTCCCAGAATAGAAGAACACGGACACTCAGGGTCCCAGAATAGAAGAACACTGACACTCAGGGTCCCAGAATAGAAGAACACTGACACTCAGGGTCCCAGAATAGAAGAACACGGACACTTAGGGCCCTCAAATAGAAGAACACCGACACTCAGCGTCCCAGAATAGTGGAACATTGACACTCAGGGTCCCACAGCAGTAAAACACTGACACTCAGGGCCCCAGGAAAGTAGCACACTGACATTTGGGGTCCTAGAACAGTACCACAATAACACCCGGGGTCCCAGAAAAGTAGCACACTTATGCTAAAGGTTCCAGAATATCGTCACACCGACACTCTGGGTCCTAGAATAGTGGTACACAAATCCGACAAATGAATATTCAGGGTCTCTGGGCATCATGACTGCAGAATATTGTATATGAAATATCACAAATCTCCTGCAGTGATTGTAGCTTTCATCATTGCTGACCAGGTTACCTATCAATCCGATCACTAAAATCTCAAGGTACCTTTAACATGGTGATGTCATTTCAAAAGTAATTTTGTAATATTTTCCAATCTGCAGCTTTCTTTTAAACAACGCCTGATGATCCTGCCACTTTCTCTTACAGGGTGACAACGCTCTGTCCCTGTCTTCTGCATTGCCACCCTGTGACATGCTTTCCCTATGGAGACTACAAGTGGCTGCCCAACACATTACGAAAATGGCAATTGTTTATGACACATGGAGGGGAATTTATCAAAACTGGAGCAGATCTGCACTGCAACCAATCAGCTTCTTTCACTTATTTTCAAATATAAACTGAACAAAGTGAAGAGAGACGCTGATGGGTTGCCATGGGCAACCGCTCCAGATTTTGGTAAATTCCCCCCACTGTGTTTTAGCAAAGTAATGGTCATTTAGTTTGGCTTTACATGACTACTCACCGGGCAATACTAAATTTTTAAGGATCTCAGTGCCAGTTGCTGTGGCATTTATAAGACACACATGAGCCGACTCCAGAGCTTCCTGTCCATGGTCGCCCCATAACCTGGGAAAAGAAGGGAGAATGAGATTGCTTAGAACAGAGCTCATTTACCACATGAACAGGTAGACTGCTCCCTGCAGTACATCAAGCTACAGGAAGGCGCTGATATTGCTCACGCCAGCGATGCTCTCACTGTCATTACTTTCCTTTCCATGCAATGCAAATACAAAGCACGATAAGGCTAGCAGCTCGTTCTACAAAATACTACAGGGGTAGGCAACCTGGGCACTCCGGCTGTTGTGGAACTACAAGTGCCATGAGGCATTGCAATCTTCTTGTAGGATTTTGTGATCTTTTTAGTGCGACTGTGCCCGACTCCAGACAAAGAAAAACTTGTGGGCTACCCACTGCAAGGGTCAACTGCTTGTTTTTATCTAAGGGGCTCAAATAAAGAAGATATACTCATCTGATCCTCAGTCCTGCAGGGCTGCTAGACCGGTCCCCACAGCCTCTCCTCCCCCTGGGCTCTGGCAGCCTAAGAGCCGCTGACTTTATCACATCTTATGCAGGTCCAACGACTTGCATTAGATGTGAGGAGGCGGAGGGACATTCAATAGTCAGAATGGGGGGAGAAAAGAGGTGAGTGGTGACCGCTGCGGGACTGAGGATCAGGTGAGTATATCCGCTTTATTTGAGCCCCCCCCCTTAGAGAATACGAGCATTTTACCCTTGCAGTGTGGGGGGTAGACCAGGGGTAGCAAAAGTCCAGCCCTCCAGCTGTGGTGAAACTATAAATCCCATGCTGCAGCTCTCTCCGGGAGTCATGTCTGTGAGAATCTTGCAATGCCTCATGGGATTTGTAGTTCCACCACAGCTGGAGGGCCGGAGTTTGGCTACCCCCGGGGTAGACCAACTGCAAGGGTAAGTTTTTTTCTTTACCTGAAGTTCTTCTTTAAAGCCACAAGTCCTCCAGCAGGTCCATACCTCCATACAGACCTGAGGCAGGGGGGAAAACATTTCAAGAGCCTGCACACTGCACCCATGACACTCTGATTGTGGGTGCAATGCTCTGCTCAAAAATGAGTAACTGCACATTGATCATTATATCACCATTGCTGCTATTACTAGTCTTCGCACAAGATGGGCTAAGCCTTTAAATAGTGAAATACATTCCAGGTGCATCAAAGCAAGAGGTGTGCACAATCTCCTCATTCTTTTCTAAAGCAGCCACAGTCTGAGATGACAAGCCTGTCCCTTGGCAGCATGCTGTAGAGAAGAACACTTGCTCTGAGTTGAGTGGAAGCAATAGTCTCTCTGCAGAGGTCCAACACCCTCCATTGAGTCAGAGCTTACAAACCATCAGGGAACAGGAGCTTTGCTGATTGCAGAGCTACATATGTGATTCAGCAGAGGGCGCGACAGACCACTGCTTCCAGACAAAGAGAAAGGGTCCTTCTCTATAGCTGCTGGCAGGGGACAGGCTTTTCTATTCAGGCTGTGGTTGCTTTGGAATGAAAACCAACTGTGAAGCGTTGGGCACCTTTTATTTGGATGCAACGGGAATGTATTTAGATGATATAAGCTGGCAGTCCCATTGGGCTTTAACATGGGCGGTGGAATCAGCTGGACGTGCATGTTTATGATGGAGCCCCCACCTAGGGTTGCCACCTTCAAGGGAAACCCAAACACTCTAGTGCTGTGTGCATCAATTTCCAGGTGGCTGTGCAGAATCTCAGGGCTTTTTCACACCAAGTCCGGAGCAGATGCAGAGCAGTTACAGAACGCATCAAAAATGCATCCGATGTATTCCAATGGTATTTTGGGCTCTAGTTCACACGACAGCGTTCTGTTCCAGAGCATGTGGAAAAACTGCAGCAAGCCCTATTTGTTCTGCTCTGGAACACACCAAAGCGGCCCAGAACGCGGCATAACACACTGCACTGCATGTGCAGAGACTCATGCAGATCTGGTCCAGATTTGGTGTGGGCTATGCAGACCCTCAGGTGGGCTATGCGGACCCTCAGGTGGGCTATGCAGGCTATGCCATGTCTCACCAGGGGTCCAAAGGCAGGCAGCATGTTGTCAGGAAGATGGAGATGTTTACAGGTACCTGAGGCTCATGGGAAGGCTGCCTCAGCAAGCACCAGACCTCAGGCAGCCGCATCTGGCAAAAAATTAAAGTGCCGGCACTTAGTGTCTTGTGTCTGGGTGTCAGCTGGCCTGCAACCTGGACACAGGACTCAAAAACTGGACTGTCCGGGTGAATCCCGGACAGGTGCCAACCCTACCCCCACCCCCAGCTCTGGTCTAATCTTTGGATAGCAAAATCAATCATGTTATAAACTCCAACCGATTTCCCCCCATAAGTTCAGTCAATCAGGACTGGTCAGTGATCAACTCATCTCTATAGAAACTTAATTAAACAATGCAGATAATAATAAACACACAGCCCAGTGTATTACCCTGCACAGTGATCATACCCAGCACTGAGTCTCTGCACACTGACGCATAACACTGTAGCAGACACCCCCTCAGTCTCAGCATCCCCTCCAGCATTATACACTACCTGAGCTGCCTGTCATATTTCTGCTCCTTCACCACCTTCGCCATGATCCTAACCCGGAAGTGAACCACAAACAGCAGCCCACTAGCGGTATCCAAACTTCACCGGCCGGTGGCGCTAACACGCCGTATACCGAACCAGCTGCAGCAGTCCATTAGCAGTACCCGGGCTCCACCGGCAGGTGGCGCTAACACGCCGTATACAGAACCAGCTGAAGTATTCAAACTTCACCGGCAGGTGGCACTAACAAACCAGCTGCAGTAACTCACTAGCAGTACCTGATCTTGACCACCAGGTGGCGATGACACATCATCTAGCGCAAGAAGGGATTGTGTTAACTGGTTATGATGTGTGAGATCTTTTCTATTGTGATATGTTATAATGTGGATCCCTTGGAAAAAAAATCAACATTTTTATTAAAGCTCCTTTAGTTCCCCACCCTAGGCCACACTAGAAACGTCTTGCAGTTCCCATCCCTGGCACAGTTTAATGCATGCAAGCGTCTTTTTGCATGTTAGCGCGAGACATTTTTTAAAATGTTATGATGTGCAAAAATAAAAGTTTTTTTTTGTTATTTTTCCTGCTGCAAGTCATAGGAAATGGATTTGGTAAAAGAAAAGGCTTTCTTCAAGTAACTCAGTCATAAGAGAAATTTAGGCAATCCACTCTTTTTGAAAATGCCAGTTGCCTGGTTCTTGGGACAGTTCTTCAGCTTTAATACATTCTGGATCTCTGACTTGGGGGCATGAATGCAAAACAAGACAGCCAGGGAAACTTGTTTGGAGTTAGGGCCGGAAAGTAATGAAGCCAGAGAATCAGTATGAGAACCAGGCCATCTGAATCTTCAGGTCAGCGATGTCATTTATTTCATGACACTTTTCCTTACCTGATGTGCTTAAAGTGACCCTGTCATGAATTTATATTCTGCCAAAATGAAAACCCTGTAAAAAAAAAAAAAACGAAATGCAATGTTCCGGCAGAGTATGAACTTCATAGGATTAAATGGAGAGTGCAGAACACTTGTGCGGCCTTGCTCTGAAGATTTCCACAAACGGCTCAGCGGCCTCAGGTACGATATATCGCTGTATGAGGGACATGAGAGTATAAGACTTACAGGGACACTGCAATGTAAGTATAACCACAACAAAAGGGCAGTTACACTTTAAAGCATAAAACATTGCATGATACCACACAATAAACAAAAGCACAGCAGGGCATTGGTGTGAACCGAAGTTATCAGCTATCCTCATATTTACAGTCTATAAAAATGCACACACACACACTGCAAGAGTTGAATGCTTGTTAGCTCTAGGGGTGCAGGAAGAGGCTGTATTGCTCACCTTACTCCTCCCTCCAGCAGGCTTCACTGATCTCCTCTACTACCTGCCACTCCAGGATGTAGGTCGTCCTTCCGTGTCATCACATGCAATGCAGGACTATTAGTTCTGTATTGTATGTGGAGGAGGCGAGCGTGTGACCACAGTCGGGAACGCCTTAAAGACCCAATTCCTGTACCTTCAGAACTCAGTTTAGACCCAATTCCTGCATCTTCAGACCTCAGAGCAGACCTAATTCCTGCATCTTCAGACCTCAGATCACCCCAAATCAGCCCCAATTCCTGCACCTTCACACCTCAGATCAGCCCCAATTCCTGCACCTTCACACCTCAGATCAGCCCCAATTCCTGCACCTTCAGACCTCAGAGCAGACCCAATTCCTGCACCTTCACACCTGAGATCAGACCTAATTCCTGCATCTTCAGACCTCAGAGCAGACCCAATTCCTGCATCTTCAGACCTCAGATCAGACCCAATTCCTGCACCTTTAGACCTCAGATCAGACCCAATTCCTGCATCTTCAGACCTCAGAGCAGACCCAATTCCTGCATCTTCAGACCTCAGATCAGACCCAATTCCTGCACTTTTAGACCTCAGATCAGCCCCAATTCCTGCCCCATCCGACCTCAGATCACCCCAAATTCCTGCACCTTCACACCTCAGATCCCCCCAAATTCCTGCACCTTCACACCTCAGATCCCCCCAAATTCCTGCACCTTCACACCTCAGATCAGCCCCAATTCCTGCACCTTCACACCTCAGATCAGACCCAATTCCTGCATCTTCAGACCTCAGATCAGATCCAATTCCTGCATCTGCAGACCTCAGATCAGAACCAATTCCTGCATCTTCAGACCTCAGATCAGACCCAATTCCTGCACCTTTAGACCTCAGATCAGCCCCAATTCCTGCCCTATGCGACCTTAGATCACCCCAAATTCCTGCACCTTCACACCTCAGATCACCCCAAATTCCTGCACCTTCACACCTCAGATCAGCCCCAATTCCTGCACCTTCAGACCTTAGATCAGCCCCAAGTCTTACGCCTACAGACCTCAGATCAGATCCAATTCCTGCACCTTCAGAACTTCAAACCTTAGATCAGTTTCCAGTTTCTGTACCTTCAGACCACAGATCAGCCCCGATTTCTGCACCTTCACACCTCAGATCAACCCTAATTCCTGCACCTTCAGACCTCAGATCAACCCCAGTTCTTGCACCTTTAGACCTCAGATCAACCTTAATTCCTGCACCTTCAGACCTCAGATCAGCCCCGTTTCTGTACCTTCAGACCTCAGATCAGCCCCAAGTCTTATGCCTACAGACCTCAGATCAGCCCCGGTTTCTGCACATTCCCACCTCAGATCAACCCTAATTTCTGCACCCTTCAGACCTCAGATCAACCCCAGTTCTTGCAACATCACACCTCAGATCAACCCTAATTTCTGCACCTTCAGACATCAGTTCAACCCCATTTCCTGCATATACAGCCCTCAGATCATTCCTAGTTCCTGCACCTTCAGACCTCAAATTAGCCCCATTTCCTGGACCTTCAAACCTTAGATCAGCCCAGATTTCTGCAGCTTCAGACCTCAGATCAACCCCAATTTCTGCACCTTTAGACCTCAGAGCAGCCCCAATTTCCTGCACCTTTAGACTTCAGATCAACCCCCATTCCTGCACCTTCAGACCTTTAGATCAGCCCCAGTTTCTGTACCTTCAGATCTCAGATCCGCCCGAATTCCTGCACCTTCACACATTAGATCAGCCCTAATTCCTGCACCTTCACACCTTAGTTCATCCCCAATTCCTGCATTATACCACCTCAGATCAGACTCAATTCCTGCACTTTCAGACCTCAGATAAACCCCAATTCCTGCACCTTCAACCCTCAGATAAGGCCCAATTCCTGCACATTCAGAGCTTAGATCCGACCCAATTCCTGCCTTTCTGAAATCTTTCTAGAGTTGGGTGAGCCACAGGCACAAAGGGGCAGGCCAGGTTTTGTATTAGACAGTGACGCTGTATTCGTAGGAAGCAGGGACTGCAAGATGCCGATACCAAGACGAATTCAGGTAGTTACACTGCTTGCAATAAAACAAATGCATTTAATAATGTAATAATGCATACATATAATGTATGCATTATTATATTATTAAATACAGAACTACATTAATTTGTGCTGAGTTCATTTGCCCAGAACTCCGCTTTAGCAGACAGTACAGTCCTTGCGTTGGCTGCTATGTGCGCTACAGACTGCAAGCTCAGTATACGGACTGGGTGTTGCTCGCCTTGTGTTGTGATGTCTAAGTTTCCGCTGTGTTAAAATTTGCTAACAAGTGCAAGCCTTCTGCGAGAGCCACTTCACATGGAAAGTATTCCACACATGTGAGGACTGCAGGGAGTGTAAACACATACGTATCCACCCTGGGGCCAAGAATAAATTGTCATGGCTTGAACCCCCTTCTCAGCACGTGGGACAGAGTCGCCTCCGATATTAACCGCCTGGCTGCTGGCCTTGATTTATGGCCGGCGGTCCGGTGAATGTACACTGGTGTTGTGGAGACCGTGCATGCAGACAAATGACTTTTCACCGGATACCCCTGACTGCTGACCAGCAAAGGTCAAAAACGTTGTCGAAGTGCAAAAACTTTATTGACATAACTTGAAAAGGTCAAAAACATTGATAAAGCTCAGCAGCTTTGTTGACTTGGCTTGGAAAAGTCCCTAGTGGCATAGGAACACAGCAAGTCACTGAATGTTTTAGGGCTCATTTGCACTTTGCCGTACCTGGGTATTCTGTTAACGCACGTGCGCTAATATGTATTGCATTTGGGCAGCCTGTTCATTTGAAATGGGCTGCCAATGCACAAGAATGGACCAGAAAATTGACGAAACAAGCTACTGTGTTGGCTGGCCATACAGTGATCAATTGTTTTTCCTTCAACCTGCGGGCTGAATAAAAAAAATAGACCCAATTCCTCCATCAACACTAACAGTGTGTCGATCAAGGAATCTCGCTGTTTACATTGTATTCTGACATTTGCTGCCGGTCACTGTCAGAATACCCGACCAGAACAGGCAGCTCATTGGCTGTCGGCTGTGATCGACCTAAAATTTTCCAGTCGTCTCCTTCGATGAGGTGATCGAGGGATGCCGGTCTGAAAGGCAGCCGACGGCACCACACACGTCCGGTTCCTCAAAATCGGGCCGACATTCGAACAGTGTATGGGTACCTTTAGTGTGCATCGGGGTGCTCTGCCAAGCATGTGTGTTGGAGCTGCATTGCCTTGGTGTGCTGGGGCGCCATTTAAACTAAATCACACCACAACAGGGATACGTGGATTGTGGTAACAAATGGGTTACTGCCATGTAAAAGTGCGCTTTGGCCTTTATGGTTGCCTTTCGTTGGCCTCAGAGTTAAAGGCTGCTGCCAACTCCTTGTGATACTGTCTGTAGGTAGCGTTCTTGGCTGCTCTGTGGCTGCACCAGAAGGCTTAGAATTGCCAAGTGTTGTCATGGTCTTGTTTTTTTGGATACGTGGAATTAGAGAATCTGCTATGGAAGTCTTTGTTCTGCTCTACCCCACAGTAAACTCAGCCTGGTGACCTGACTTTTCTCAACTGCAGGTAAGCAACACAGCTAGGTCACCTCCCAGCCCTCAGTCTGTGATTGGACAGTAAAGGAGCAGCAACAGACTGATGAGGTTATCTCTCTGCTCTCTTCTCATGTCA